CCAGGGGTGCTGGCCATCAGGCAGGACGAGCTTGGAAGGGAGGGGATGTGGGATGTGGAGGTGGAAGTGGAGGTCATCATAGATCTGTACACTCTGGTCGAGTCCCCCTTTCCAGTCACACAAAGAACAGCCAGCAGTGAGCTGCTTACTCTAAGGAGTCAAGGGAGTTCTTGGGTAACCGCTGGTGCTGGAGCCAGCAGTGGACAGCGCCACAGCCAGACCTCGCTTATTTTTGGCTCATGAGGAAAGTCTGTGACTGTTCCCTCCCCTGGTCCTGGGAGGGGATGTGTGACTTCCACTCAAGACAGTGATGCGACTGGAGGGTGGGGTCATCCTGGGCACACAGTGGGGCTGCTCTGCTGCTCTGCACTACTGGGTGTCTCACCTCTCGCCCCTGTTTTAAGTAGGTACTCCCTAGACTTGCAGCTAGATGTGTACCTTAGACTTAAAGGATGGTAGAATTTCTCTACCAGAACAAAAAATAGCTTTAGGAAATGTAAAAGAAAAAGTCATTCATAGCCTGGCATGATGGCTTATGCCTGTAATCCTAGCACTTTGGGAGGCCAAGTCGGGCAGATCACCTAAGGCCAGGAGTTTGAGACCAGACTGGCCAAAATGGTGAAACCCCGTCTCTACCAAAATTACAAAAATTAGCCAGTCGTGGTGGCACGTGCCTGTACACAGGAGGCTGAGGCATGAGAATCCCTCAAACCCTGGAGGTGGAGGTTGCAGTGAGCTGAGATTGCACCACTGCACTCCAGCCTAGGTGGCAGAGCAAGACTTCGTCTCCAAAAAAAAAAAAAGCCATTCACCACAGTCCACAATGTAAAAGACCTCTATGGAGAACATCAAAAAGTTATTAAAGAATATAAAAGAAAATCTGCATAAATGGAGCATGAACAGGATATTACAAAGGTGAGAATTCACCATAAATTGAGCCATAAATTTAATGAAATTACAATCAAAATCTTGGCATAATTTTTAAAAGGCTCTGTTATGAGCTGAACTGTGTTTCCCTCAAATTCATGCATTGAAGTCCCAACCCCTAGTACCTGCATTTGGAAATAGGGCCTTAAAGATGTGTCTGAAGTTAAATGAGGTGAGGTGAGCTTGATGTCCTTAACAAGAGGAGCTTAGGACCCAGACACCAATTGAGGCACAGCCCTGTGAAGACATAGGGAGAAGACAGTGTCTACAAGCCAAGAAGAGAGGCTGCAGAAGAAACCAACCCTGCCAAACTGTGAGAAAACAAATTTCTGTTGTTTAAACCACCCTGTCTCTGGCACTTTGTTATGGTAGTAACAAAATAGTGCAGAACCCAAAAGTTTCTAAACTCTATATGGAAAAATAAAGGCCTAAAATAACTGTTAATAAAATAATTTTGAAAAAGAAGATCAAAGAAGAGCAACTCACCTTGTCATATTCAGACATTGTAGAAAGCAATAGTAATAAAACAACCCAGTCTTGGCAAGGATTAGACAGAGACCAACACAAGAACAAGGATACCATTAAGAAACTCATGTAGGAACCTGTCCATGTCTACTGGAATAAAACAAGATTGAGGATTTTGGTAGAGAATGGGAAACTAAAAGGACTAAAAGGAAAGTCTGGAATCAAAAAATACATTTTAAAACACAGAAGATTAGGCATGGCTAGAGAGAGAATTAGTAGCTTGGAAGATCAGAAAATAATCCAGAAAAAAAAAAGAGTGTGGAGAATAGGATGTTAGGAGGCAGAGGGTACACTATAAAAAAGCCTGACGTGCCATGTAATATTAGAACCAATAGAAGAAGAGGAAGAATGAGGTAGATGTAATATTCAAAGTAGTAATCACCAATAATTTCCAAAAACTGATGAAAGGAATTAAATCATTAATTCTAGAAGTGTTACAAACTCCAAGTGCAATAAATACAAAAAGAAGCATACCTAGGTAACACAGCTATAAACCAAGCAACTTCCAGAAGCAGGGGAAACTCAAATTACCTACAAAAGAGTAAAAGTAAGACTGGCAGCTGACTTCTCAACAGAAAGCAGAAATGCAGTTTGTCAAGTCCCTTTTCCAGCATCATAGAGATGTGGGCAAAATAACTGGCCTCCATAGCAGCTGTTCATCTGAGAGGGTCAGGGGAGTGGCCATGAGAGGGGGCTTCCTGTGAACTCCAGGCCCAGCTTCTCCTGGGGGAGGCTTCCAGCTGCCATGGCTGGGACCCAGCAGTGCTGAGGTCCAGGTCTGGTGTCTCTGCCCCTCCCCTGCTCATGGAGATGCTTGCCTATGGCCACTCTATGCTCTTGGCAACTCTGACTCTGGGTGATATGGGCGAGGGTGGGCTTGCTGACTGCCCTGGTGGGAGTGGGCTGTGGCTGCCTTGGGGGGTCACCAGTGTCTGTGAGCACAGGGAAGGAAAGAGGGATTGGGCAGCCCTCCCTCCTGCAGCTGGTGTTCTAAACGTGCAGGGCCTGGAGGAGTTTGGCCAGGGCCTCCCTGATGTTGCAGTTCTCCAGGCAGTAGATGATGGGTTTCAGCTGAGGGATCCTAACCAAGTAGACCCCCGACACCAGCTTGATGAGGTCAGAGGAGCCGCCACTCCAGGTGGGAGACATGGGTGGGGAAGGCCTTTGGCTGCTGGACCTTCCTGGAATTCTTAGCAACCTGGCCAGGATAAGGGTGTAGGAGACGGTGGTTGCCTGCAGGAAAGCCACAAGGATCACCTGGGCTGCCTGAGTCCAGCATTTCTATGGCAGTGGTGCAGGAGCAAGAGAGCCACAGTAGTGGGGGTGAGATATCACAGAAGTGGTTGAGGACTTGGGGGCTGCAGAGCCTCAGGCTGGAGTTGAGAGCCATGGACATAAAGGAGGCCGGGAAGCCACAAAGCCAGGTGCTCAGGGCCAGGTGCATGCAGAGCCTGGAGTCCATAATGGACTGGGTAGTGCAGCAGGTGCCAGATGACTGGGGGCAGGTCACAGTCCATGGTGGTCAGGAGGAAGCCCTCAGAGGAGCTAAGTGAGAGGAAGAGGAGCAGCCAGGTGGGGTGCCCCAAGAAGGAGTGAGATGG